CATGACCGCGTCAGACAGATGCGGCAAATGTATCAGTACCTGGACCAGCCGGAATATGCCCGGCATTTGAGTCTTGACAACCCCTTTATCGAGACTTGCATGCCGCAGTACACGCTGGTGGGTGAGGCGGACGTTCCGCTCAGGGCTGTTTTCGAAAGCCGAGTTCAGGACTTTACGCTCGACGTCTTTTCTCCGCACACATCACACGCCATCGGTATCATCAAGCTGGCGCTCGAGCCGTCCAGCGCGCGGGCGCCGACCAATACGCTGAAGTTTAACGTTGTCATGCACGAGATGATTGGTTTTGCGGAGCGAGAAGGCACCGAGGTGCACGCGCAGCTTTTCCTCCCTGGTATTTCGGAGGAAGACGGCATTACCACTACCCAGATGATCAAGGACTTCGACGAGGGGCCAATACGATTTGAGAGCGTCCATAGTATGAGCGTTCCGCTGTTTGCGCCTCCCGAGACGAACTTGAGGGTAGCGATATTCGCAAACGTGTCGGCCATGCATCTCGATAAGCTCCTGAGCTGGGATGACATGAGAGACGCCGTGCCCATGTCCCAGAGCAGACCCAAGGGCGCCAGGATAAACGAGTCGCAGTTTTTTACCGAGGAGAAGCACGATCTCCTCTCGCGGGTCCAGATTCTAGAACTTAACGAGGAAGGAAGCTACGTCCCGGTTGAGGTGACGCAGACCAGTGAGCTTGATAGCGGGACCTTTCAGCTTCACCAGGGTCTACAGAGGCGTATTGCGATCAACCTAACCCACAGCTCTGGCGACGCGCTGCCGTGGGACGACGTGCCATCGCTGCGGGTTGGGAAAATCCAGCTTTTGGATAGCGCGGGCAAGACGCCTGACCTGAGCTCGGTCACCCCTGACCTCCCATTGAAGCTGTCGTCAAAGCCAATGTTCCGGACGAACGCAAATGGGACAAGAACCATTACTATTAGCGGGCAGTGGGATTCGAGTCTGCACAACTCTCTGCTGCTGGACAGGGTCACGGCCGACAAGTACCGGGTTCAGATGACGGTTTCCTGGGAGATCAGCTCCGAGAAGCTTGCCGAGCCCATGAAGTTCTCGATGAACGTCTGCTGCCAGATCATGTCTCGGTCCTTTGTCAGGCAGTCATCGATGTTTTCGGCGTTATGGCAAAACGTCCGGATAGTGCGCTCGTCCACGGGCATTTTCACCCTGCAGATGCGACCAGCGCCAATCAAGCGCGTTGGCGACCTCTGGCGGATGAGCAGCCAACACGACTACGTCAAGGGCGAGGAGAACCTCACGTCATGGACGCCACGCGGCGTTTCGCTCGTAGCCGATTATATCAATTCGCGGAAGAAGAAACGCATCGTCTCCGAGATTGGCGCCGTACAGACCTTTCTCAAGAAGATCGGCTTCCGCGACGGCACGGGCGAGGATGCCAACGACGTCGATGAGGTCGAAGACAGCGACCTCCCCCCTCCCCCGCTACCAAGCGACACCGACTCGATCGCCGAGCTGCTCAACGATACCCCGGACGGTTCAGAAGCGGCCTCACGAGAGTCGTCCCCACCTGGCACTCCGGCCGACGACACCCTCGTGCCCGAGCAGGTCGTCGAGCCAGCGGCAGAACCGGAATACACCGAATCGCAAACGGCGCTCCTCAACAGGTGCCTCAAACTCTGGCTCCGCTACCCCGACCCAACCCTCAAGGTCCTCAGCCCTGCCAACACGGACCCGCCTGCCAACGGCGTCGTCGAGGGCGCCGAGAGCCCGCCGCCGCCAGCGTTCGTCGCGACCGTCATCCGCGTGCCCAAGAATCCGAGCGTGCTCAAGGGTGGCTACCTGCTCGTGCCCAACAGCGAGTCGACGCGGTGGGTCAAGCGGTTCGTCGAGCTCAGGCGGCCGTATCTCCACATCCACGGTGTCGCGGACGGGGAGGAGGTGGCAATTGTGAGTTTGAGGAACTGCAGGGTGGATAGCCAGCCGGGCATCTTGGGCCTGCTGAATGGCGATTACGGCAATGGTGGGGACTATGGCGGGGTTCATGGGGATGGGGTCAATGGGAACGGGAACGGGAACGGGAACGGGATGCAGAGGAGTGGTGGGGACTATACAGCAGGACACAGGCGGACGTCTTCGGGCCGGTTGATCTCGACGATTTGGACAGGGACGGGATTGAACGGGGTTACGGGAGGGGGTGGAGCAGGTGGGATGAGCAAGCTGAGTGAGAGGCTGCAGGCAGGCGTGTTTGCCATCTATGGGACGGACAACACGTGGCTGTTTGCAGCACGCAGCGAGAGGGAGAAGATGGACTGGATCCTGAGGATTGATCAGAGTTTCCTGGCCTCGTCGCCGAGTACCGCTGGGAGTGTCGCGGGCAGTGGGGCGGCGAGTCCGAGGATCGGGGGGTATCCCGAGGCTTGAGGGTGCAGGGCAGAGAATTTAATGCATTCAGGAATACCCCGGGGTCATTTAAATACATAGGTGATGGCTAGGTATGGCACACAGGTAATGGGAATGGGCAAAGCATTTAGACTTGGGGCGTGTGACAGCACTGAAAGAGAGAAAAGGATATGATTGAAATGAGGTTATGGATTTGAGTTTTTTTGTTTTACTCTCCCCCTCATGGCTTCGGTTTTTTTTTTTTTTGCTTGCTTCTTCTTCTTTTTCCCAAGGTAGTATGTAAATAGTTTGTCGAACACTCCCGCCTTTGGCACCTAGGGACTATTGGGTTGAACAGGGTTGGCATTTTGTGGGGCATGGAACGGCGACTAGTACTCGCTATTTCTTTTGTCTTTTTGGGATGTGCTTGGATTAATTAAGGGCACTATCGAATTTGTTTTGCAACTCAGATTAACGTGAATTACAAGCGAGCGGTCAATCCAAGCGAGTGGTGTCACCACCTCAATTGAACTGTCGTGACATACCAACACCACAAAAGAAACAATCAATGAAAATTACTCAAAATCCGGTTCCTCATCCATTTTCGCATCCTCCTGGCACGTACGAGAGTTGTGTCCTGTTTTGCCGCAGTTGCTACAGTGCCATGAACCTGCTGCGTTGCTCCTCGTACGACCACCCCCCGACCGCTTTTCCTCCTCTAGCCAGGCGTGTGCATCCCTTTCTGCTAGAATATCGCTTGCATCCTGTACAGTCAATGGTCCCCCTGCCCGGATATGACTTTTTTTAGCCCTACGGCGTTTGCTTAAGGCTGCATTGGCCTCCTTAAGCTCTCGCACGCGAGCCTTCATCAACACCATCTCATGCATAACCTTCGTTGTACCCTTTACAATTTGGTCAAGGGCCTTGAGAATTGGGGTTGGTGAGCTGCCTTGATGCTTGGTAATGCGATCCTTGATGTGTGTTGACTGTAGAGAGGCTTTGGTGGAATTCTGTGGCGTCTTAGAGACCTAACTGTCGTACGAGGCCTTGGGGGGGCCTGTAGGTGTTGGTGTATGAAGCTTGATATCTAGCTGGGAAATCACCTTCTCTGGGTTGAATGGGACAAGACCTGCACCTTGGAAGCCCCCTTGAACGTTCTTAGGTTTAAATGTTGCTTGAAATGTGTTGTAGAAGGCAAGAAAGAAGTCGGGCTTGGTAATGTGGTGAATGTAGTTGCGCATTAACTTCTCGATTTCCTTACCGTATGACCGCTTTAACACACTAAAGCACCTGACATCAAGTGGCTGAAGTAGATGAGATGAGTGTGGAGGCATGCAAAGTGTGATGATGTTGTTTTCTTTACAGTAGTCCTTGAATTTGGCCGAGTGGTGGCTCTCATGCCCGTCGAGGATCAGAAGTTGCTTTCCACCTATTGTATGATGGTGGGAGTGCTGGTCAAAGTGTTTGATCCAGTCAAGACCAATCTGGTTATTCGTCCAACCAGTTTCTGAGAGATCAATGGTCCAATCGGGTGGGAAAGGGCTGTTGCGATACCAACTTTCGAGGTGGATTTTGCCTGCAACCACCACATACGGAGGGATGGTATCACCACCCGACTATATGGCCTGGATCACAGTAGCCCATTCCTGATTACCAGATTGGATCTTCTTGACCCTCCCACGGCCTTCAGACAAGGTAATAACCAGCGTTGGCAAGATCTGGCCCATCATGAACCCAGTCTCATCAAAGTTCCAGATATCTGACTCAACGATCCTATGTTTTGCAATTGTGTTACAAACAAGGTCAAACCACACGCTAATTATCTCCAGATCTTTGCATTTAGCTCTCTGGTAGTCGTACAGACACGTCCAACGCGTCCAGAGCTCTGGTTGTCATCGTACAAAGTTCAAAGCCCAGTGTTTTCCGACACGTGATGCACTACGCGTCACGCGTAGCAAGTTGGCCATATCTTTCAACATATCATATCCTGGCGAAAATCCTCGCTCATACAGGTCAAGAACCCTTTGTACAATGACCTGCTCTTCAAGGGGGTCGAGATTCCAAGAGTTGGCAATGGTATCTGCTCGAGGGCGAATTCCCTTTTGTCGTCACAGAAGCGTCATACGAGATACTGAATAGCGTTCTGCAGCTGCGTAGAGATTAAGGTTCTTGTCGCGTTCCATAGCTTGAAGGGCAAGTTGCACCTGTACTTCATTTCGTTTGGCTGGCATTTTTGGTTCTTTTGTGGTGTTGGTATGTCATACGACAGTTCAATTGGGGTGGTGACACTGACCACTCGCTTGGATTGACCGCTCGCTTGTGATTCACGTTATACCCCATCAAGCCAGCAAATATTCATTCCCTAGGGGTGTTGGTGGTGAAATCGTGATGGATGGAAAATGTGTGTAATTGGCTGCCACTGTCTCTTATATAATGCTGAGAACGGATGTCCCGCGGCAGCCATTGAAACGGTAAGAAGAGTTTGGGCATTGAAGTGACCGTTTTTCGATGGGTTCGGAGTGAGGTGGACTGGGGCGGGAAAATAGGGGTTTTGTGAACCTCCAGACCCCTCCTCAGGGTCATAGCCACGAACACGATCCTAACCTCCATCGATTGGTCTACATCAGTTCAGTGGTCGGGTGGCGCAATGGTAGCGCGTTACTTTCCGGTTTAAGTTCTCTGAAAAGAGGTTCTCAGTTGGTAAAGGCTCTGGGTTCGAGTCCCAGCTCGATCGATTCTTTTTGCCCCAGCTATACAAGCCGGCTGTCCCCCCAACTTTCCCGCGGCAGCCAAATTATATCAATGACCAGACCCTAGTTGCACTTTGTCCTCTGTGCATTCGCAATCCCGACCCAGCTCTGGCACTTGGCACCATCGCGAGAGCACTATTTTGCGTTTCTTGTGTCAGCAATAACTTTTGTTGCTGAACTTATGAAGCTGCTTCAAAAACCTACCTTGAGTCCATCGCAAGCAGCGCGTCTGCCCGAGTTATAAAGACACTCGTTGGTTTGAATGGAGCAGATCTATATTTCACCAATTGCTAGGATTGGAAGGCATTTGTCTGTTTCGGATGAGGCGAAACTTACACCCTCTTCTGCTGCAACAAAACCAATGACCATGGTCATGGCAGCGGTGATGATGGTGTTAAGACGCATGTTTGCTAGGTTCAAAAGGGGTGAGGGAAGGGGTCGATGTGTGATAGAAAAGGGATGTCGGGTAAGAGATCACCATCTAGGGGACAGAGAGAGGGACAGAGAGAACTATTTATCTCTTCTAATATCGTTCGTGATACATTGACTTTTCGTCCGTTGTATTGTGAGTCTCTTACACGAGCACCTAGCCATGTGAGATGCATCCTAACCTTAGGTACCCAAAAGCTTCATACACGCTTTCGTATCCGCATATGATCGCTCCGAGCAAAGTCCAGTTAGAGGTGGAAGTCGAGCAATTGCCAAAGGCATTGTGAGACTCGATAACGTTGTGGTAAGCGTGGTGCGACGCTGCAATGATTTGTCGGCTGCTGCCTGCGTCGAGTGAGCACCTATCATCGGTCTGGAATTAAGACCAAATCACATCTCCGCCGCATAGTCCAAATAAATTTCCCCCGGGTTTCCATGTAACACACATGACATGGGTGCCAATTGGGTCCGTGGACCAGCCAGTGTTGAATCCACACCGACCCCTTCTATATTGACATTCACATCTCACCCTCCCTTTTCTCTTGTCCTGGTCTCCACTTTCACCCCACATAACCAGGCACCAGTTTTCACATCGCCATCATGTTACAGTCAAACACCGTTCATGTCTCATACAGCGCACCTCTGTTTATAGAGTTATCGTGTTCCATGGGAGGCGATGCTTACTACGAGGTAACTTGATAAACGAATGGCTATAGGCAAGCTTATTCTTGTCACACAGGTAGCATTGGCCATTGTTGAACCTATCTTATCCTCGAATGTCACATCCGCGGTGTGGTCTAGATCAAATCATGTTACGAGGTGCAACGCTGACAGAATATCGTGTGCCCGGCCTCAAGCCTGATGAATCAAACAATTCAAGCCTCGGTGGCGGGGATGTACGATGAATGGGACATCACGGTTCCGAGGCCCATACCTCAAGGTATCTTTGAGATGTACAAGTGGTAGTATAAATACACGCTACATTCCCCAAGTCTTGCCCCATCCCTCCACACGCTTTTCTTCATTCACGATACACCCTATAAAAATCATCTCCCTAGGCCACCCTCTTCAAATCTTGAACTCCATATCAAAAATGGCAGACGTCATCGGACTCATCGGAGATGGCATTGGCATCTTGTCGTTCATCGCCTCCATCTTCCCCAATAGGGGAACTTCCAACGCGTGCACCGTCCGCATTGCCGCCGCGCTCAACGGCAATGGTCTATCGGGCGGGGATGGAAGCGTTGCCCAGGTCCGGCTATACAACGAGAACCAGCAGATTATCGGTAACGCGCCTGGAGGATACGCCAGCTCGGGAGGTTTCAAGGACATCACCGTCAGCCAGACCAACACGCAGCAGTCGACCTTCATCCAGCTGGCAGCCTCCAACGATGCCATCTGCATCCCCTACGCCAGCACGACCTGGGTGGACGGTGGCAAGTACGGCTGGGTTGGCGATTGGGGATACAAGTGCGGCCTGCAGTGGTATTGGGGCAATGTCTACGTGAGTTACTCGTATTGCCCTTCCTTGCTACCACCATCCCACTAACTTGTGATCAGGTCGACAACGGCAAGAACAAGCCTCGATGCACGTGGATCGATGCCGACCACACGAATGGCATCCCGCCCGGAATGCTCTTCATCCACTGGCCCTCATTCGCCGGCAACCAAGGCCACTCGGACAACCCCAGCTCGTACTGCGGCTGGCCTGCTTTCAGGGCCTATAAGGACCCCAACGGCGGCGGTGTCATTGTCAAGAAGGACAACGGCGACTCTGGCGAGACCAAGGTCATCAAGCGAGCCCTCGACTCGCGCCTCGTTGTCAGTTCCGAGCCGAGCCACAATGCGACCGAGCTGTGCGCCAGTGAGACCTCGCGAGGCCCTGACTTTGTTTCGCTGGCCGAGGGGGTCTACTGCAACATGGAGACATCTGAGACGCTGCCGCTGTGTGGCGGTGCCCTGCAGGCTGCTTGCTTTCAGCTCGAGAGCAACGGGCATGTCAAGAGGGATGGGAATTCGACGCAGAAGCCATATACCGAGGTGATCAAGTGGGAGTAAATGGTCTTGCTGGATAGTACCGGGGAGGTTGTTGGACGAGGAGAAGTCAGATGTACATATATCATCATCCCTCATATAAACTCCTCTCTCATGGGTCTGGATTTGACTCAGCAAACCTAACAATACAAAGACCTTTTGTACCTTTTTGAAATTTTCCATGTCCCTGGAATCACGGGTAGCAAGCTGCCAGTGCCTTCCCTTTCTGGCAGCCACCAAGTTCATTGGGTCCTTGTTTCACACCTTCCTCGTGCATGCAAGACCAAGCAATTTTCCAGGTCACATTACCAGACTTGCAAATCGGCTGTGTTTTGATTTCTCTATCAAAGTTTCTGAGATTCAGGGTAATTTTGAAAAGATGATTTAAAAATTTACTCACAGGCGCAGCTCTCTTACCTGTGCAAGCTACCTGTGCAAGCAACTAAAAACCCACACTGGATCTTCCACAACGGCAGGTATTTTCAAGATAAGGTAGGTACATCTGCATCCTACTTGCGGCTCGGGACGCACCGATCCCCCTGTTCAGCCACATGCACCTGTATAGCCAGTCAAACCAGACGTTCACGACACGTTTCCCCGTTGGCGCGGTTGAACAGGGGTCAATGTCTATATCAACAAGATTCTTTTGGGTTTTTCTATGGTGAGTCGCTGTACATTCAATATACAATACCACCTTAAGGTCGTGCAATGCCGTTGATAGCCTGAACCTACCCTGAACCAGAACCGCCGATAGCGCGGGTGGGTCGGATGCGACCCCTGAAATGGGGGCCAATGGATAAGGGCAGATATCGCCAATCTCGATAAGGCAAGAGCTGGTGCATTGGATTGCCCCGCAGTCGCAGGTCCCCCAAAAAATTTTCCCCTCCAACACTTGAGTTGAGAGGGTCGCTTGGTACATATTATCCGGCAAAGTTGCGACCCTCCCAAATGGCTCCAGACTCCATTCCACGTTGCCACCGCCTTTTTTCTCTTGGCCTCCCTCTGCAGCCATGACTGTAGACCTGTGACGCACCCTAGTCTAACCTCTTTCACTCCTTCTCTTGACTCTCCGGTGCGCAGTATCGCAGATCGTTGGTCGATATCGCAACCCGTGAATCCGCTTCACCTGTCGCATTCTATCCACCGAGATCGCAAGCAACTTCTGCCCCAGCAGATCCCCACGTCGGACCCATTGAGGCCACCTGCGACCATCACGACCATATCCTCAACAGATAATAACTCAGGGATCCACGAAACCTTCGTCTTCCTCCCCAAGTCCTCCCTCAAGCCGGCAAAATGTGCGGCATCCTCGGCCTCATCCTTGCCGACACCGAGTCGGGCGCGGTCGACGCCTCTGTCGATCTACACGAGAGTCTCTATTATCTTCAACATCGCGGTCAAGATGCCTGCGGCATAGCTACCTGCGCGTCGGGAGGCCGGATATTCCAATGCAAGGGCAATGGCATGGCATCCAAGGTTTGCCACCTCCGAGTCCAGCCTGTGCCGTCCCCTACTGACAGAACAGGTCTTTGATGACGGCAAGCGTGTTGTCGACCTTCCCGGCTACATGGGCATCGCCCACCTCCGTTATCCCACGGCAGGAACCAGCTCGGTGAGTGTGGATAACCCCTTCATATACACGAATCACGGCAAGCCTGGTTACATGTTCGGACCGTAACTGATAGATTGGATCTACAGAGCGCCGAGAGCCAGCCTTTTTACGTCAACTCCCCCTACGGAATCTGCTTTGCGCACAATGGCAACCTCATCAATGCCGGTGACCTGCGCACCTTTCTCGACAAGGAGGCCCACCGCCACGTCAACACCGACTCGGACAGCGAACTGATGCTCAACATCTTTGCTAACGCCCTGAACGAGACTGGTAAGGCCCGTGTCAACACCGATGACATTTTCAGCGCGCTGTCGCGGACATACGAGAGATGCCAGGGAGCATGGGCTGCCACCGCCATGATTGCTGGTTTCGGCATCCTGGCGTTCCGGGACTCGCACGGCATCCGCCCCCTTTGCATGGGTAGCCGCCCGTCATCGACCCTCCCCGGCGGCACCGATTACATGCTGGCGTCGGAGAGCATCGCGCTTCGCCAGCTTGGCTTCAAGAACATCCAAGATATCCTGCCCGGTCAGGCCGTCTTCCTTCAGAAGGGCAGAGAGCCCCAGTTCCACCAGGTTGCTGAGAGGCAGGGATACGCCCCAGACATCTTTGAATATGTATACTTTGCTCGCCCGGACACAGTCATGGATGGAATCTCCATCAACCGCAGCCGGCAGAACATGGGCGCCAAATTGGCCGACAAGGTCAGGGAGATATTGGGGGAGGATGGCATCAAGGATATCGACGTCATTATACCTGTCCCGGAGACGGCGAACACCGCGGCAGCAGTCGTCTCAGAGCGACTCGGTAAGCCGTTCTCCAACGGCTTCGTCAAGAACCGCTACGTCTACCGAACATTCATCCTGCCTGGCCAAAAGGCTCGGCAGAAGAGCGTGCGCAGAAAGCTCA